AACCTAGCATGAATTTCCGGTTTCTGGCCAGAATGGGCATAATAGGACCACCAACCAGTAAACACCAAGAGTGCTGGAAGAAGATTACTTTGAGGTGCTCAGTATTAAAGGTATTGAGTGAAACCAGCAGCAGATGGCCAGTATAATGATCTGAGGGATCTTAGGAGAAAGGTCTAGATGAGGTGGAATGACAGAAATAAATAGGGAAAAAAAGAGGTTGTAATGAAACCATGAGGAAGCTAGATCTTTGGAGATGAGGTGTGAGGAGGTAGGAGAAGTATTTAGAAAGAGAGGTGGATGCTAGAGGTTAGAGGTCTCCAAATTGGAACCATCTTGCCATTTTGTTGAGGGTCTCCTCACAGTCCCACATGGTAGCTGGCTGGTTCATGTGTGCCCTAAGATGTTGAGACTTTTCCTGAGAACATGACTTGCCTTTTCTTGTGCTGCTCATGTCCCTCATATTTCTGGGTGGATTGTTTCCACAGGGCTCTGCGATACAGGCAAAGCTCCAGTATCTTCGAATCCTGAATGAACTTCCGACCTTCACGGGCGTTTTATTCAACACTGTGGGTCTGGTCAGTGAGGGCACTGGGGCGAGGAGGGATGCTTTCTTGGCACTTATTCGTGGAGTGGGGATGTGGGAATAGACTTGCAGAAGAGACTTCACTAGGATTCTAGAGTGGCATTCTCTGTCAGTAAATATTCATAAAGGCCTTCCTATTTTTCTCTCCTCTTCCTGCCTCAATCTCCTATGGTACTATGGCTTCCCTCTGGTAAAATGATAAAGTAGGAAGGGAAATGTGTGTTCAAATAACCTTCCACAACCATTTTGTGTCTCCTTTCCTCTATGTCAGAAGTCTGAAAACTTTTTTCTCCTTAATGGCCTCCTCTAAGAAAACTACTACTCTGGATTCAATTCTGTCTCATAAAGATCCTATAGGAAATCACCACCATTAATATGCATGTGGAGGATAAAGGTATAGAGACTGCAAAAACAGCCCAGACATGGGGTTGGGGCTGAGCCACTGAGGCTTAAGAGAAATGGTAGCTAGGGAGGTAATTAATGGCAACAATAGATGAAAGTGCAGGGGAGCAGGGGTCGGTGCAAAACTACTTCCAGGCTGTGGACACAAGGGTAAGATGGGAAACCTGCCAGTGTCCATTATTTCTATTTTGACCTGGCTGAACCTTGGACTGAGGCCTCCTCTCTAGCCTCAGTCTCCGCCAACACCAGGAAGGGGAGCTACAGGAGCCATCAGGCACCCCAGGAGTATACCAGACATGAGTGGTAGAATTATGGAATCATAAACATCTCAAGCCACAATTTCTAGAAACATAATTATTTCCTGTTTGGCTCATACAACCACAGGCTTGAGGAAAACATCATACAAACCCAAATTGAAGGACATCTTACAGGTCCTCAAGACCATCCAGTAATGAAAAAAGAATAAGACTGAGACACTATTTCAGACCAGAGGAGATTGAAGAGACATGATAACTAAATGTGGTGCCCTGTTCTGGATCCTGAAACAGGCCATTAATAGGAAAGCTGATGACATCAATAAAGTCTAGAACTTGGGTTTTTTTGGTTTGGGGTTTTTATTTTTTTAAAAAGGATCTTATAGGTTAGAGTAGAGCTCTCTCACAGGGTTTCCAAGACTGTAAATCTTACAGGAGCCAGCTGGCTCATCTTTCTTCCATAAAGCAGGTGTTGGGTTCACACTGCCAACCTTTTTATTAGTGGTCAAATGCTTAACTCACTGCACTACCAGGGCTCATCTACAAAAGCAACCATATTGTTATGTGCCATCAAGTCAGACACAACTCCTAGTCTAGAGGGACTGACTGTCCAGGGAGGTTTCAGAGGTTATAAATTGCACAGGAGGAGACTTCCCATCTTTCTCCCATAGAATTATCTGGTGGATTCGAACTGCCTGTCTTGAGTTGGCAGCACAGCTCCTTACCACTAGGCAACCAGCTCTCCCTGAAGCAGTCGTTATTGTTATTGTGTACTGTCGAGTCAGAACCGACCCATAGCTGACCCTCCAACAAGTTTACAGAGGCATTTAATCACACGGGAGGAGATTGCCCAGTTTTCTCCCATGGAACATCTGGTAAATTTGAACTGCATACCTTTGGGTTGTCAGTGCAACTCCTTACCACTAGTCAAAGGCAGCCGTAGACAAGACATGAACAGATGAGCATGGATGTCTGCCAATAACTATGGACACTGAAATTTGGTGAATTTCATTTGTTGTAAAATAGGATTCTTTTTATTTGCCCCCCAGCCCTTTAAAAATGTAGAAGAATGCAAGCAGTGCATAAACAAACGTTAGGCTGGATTTGAACCAATGGCCATAGTTTGCCCACTCTTAACTCTATTTTGTTGCTCTAATTCCTACTCTTGCTGGAAGCTCTGGTGGTGCAATTGATAGAGTTGTTGTGCTGTGATCCCAAAAGCAGTGCCCGTTCAGTGATTCAAATTGACCAGCTGTTCCTCTGAAGAAAGATGAGCAGTCTCCTCCCATGAGACTTACCATCTCCTGAAAACCCATCAGAAGGTCAGCAGTGAGTTTATTCCAATTGGACAGCTATGAGTTTGAGTTTTTTTAGTCTTTACTCTTGAACTTCCTCACCCCAGGCTCCTGAATTCTCATATATCCCCCTACCTGCTCAGTGCCGTCACTGTAATTCCAGCCCTCTGTGGAAAATCATAGCTGCTCACCCTAAAACGCTGAGGACAGTGCCCCGGGCATATTTTCTTGTGAGAAGAAAGAAAATAATTTTGCTGACTATATCCAAATACTTCTCATGCTCTTGGGAGCACACTGTCATGCTTGTGGGTCACACTGGTGGGAAGCTACTTATCAAAGTGTTTCTAGAAGATGGAAGTGGTTCCACAGGTTGATGCTAATGCCAGGGAATGGGTTGACAGAGGGTTCAAGCTCGATGGTTCCAAAGAAGCTGTCAGTACCATTTGAGGGTTCAGCAGGCATGTTGTTGTTATTATGTGCTGTCAAGTCAGAGGCAACTGATAGCTGACCCTCCAGTGGGCTTTCAGGGGCTATAAATTGCACAGAAGGAGATTGCTCCCCTTTCTTCCCCCCAAGGAGCAGCTAGTGGATTTGAACCGCGTGCCGTTGGGTCAGCAACCCCACTTCTTACCCACCAAGCCAACAGAGCTACAAGTTAGCAGGCATAGTTGTTGCCATTTACATACTGGGATTTGAACGACACAGAAAACACACTTCTTCCATCTAATACAAATCCAAAACCTTTTGCTATCAAGGTGATTCCCACACATATAGTAAACCCCATTCAAAAACAAGCAAACAAACAAAGAAAACAAAAAACAGAACAAAACCAAGCCCACGGCTGTTGAATTGAGTATGACTCAGAGTGACTTTCCTTTGGGTTTTCAAGGCTATTAATCTTTAGAGAAGGAGACTGTCCATCTTTCTCCCCCAGGGCCACTGGTGGTGTCAAACTTCTGGCCTGTTAGCTAGCAGCCCAACACTTTACATGCTATACCACCAGGACTCCTTAACCTGTTGCTATTAAGTCAGCTCCCACTCATACTAGGTGTTGTTACTAGGTGCTGGCAAGTCAATTATGACTCTTCTCGACCCTGTGGACAACAGATCTAAACCTTTGTCTGATCTTGCTCCATCATCACAATCTTTATCATGCTTAAACACATAGTCAGTCTGTCTTATTGAAGGTCTTCCTCTCTTTTGAGAAGGTCTTCCTCTCTTTTGATGACCACCTATCCAAGCATAATGTCTTTTTACAAGAACTGTCCCCTCCTACAGCATTGCCCAAAGCAACCCCATCTCTTCCACTCACCTGCCAATATTGAAGTAATTATTGGCTGCTCCTCTGGGCTTAGGTCTGTCCTGGAGAGAGTGAAACCAGGCTGCTCCTTGGAGGCAAGGATTTCAAAGCTCCGTCTCATATACTTTGGGCATGTGGCCAGGGGGGACCAGTCCTTGGAGAAAGACATCATGCTTGAAAGGGTGGAGGGACAGTGCAGGAGAAAGATGGGCCCAAGATGAGATGGATTGACTCAGTGACTGTAGAAATGGGCATAAGTCTGTCAGAGACAGTGAGATTGGCTGGGGATAGGGCAGGGTTCAGAGTTAATGTACATACGGTCTCTATGAGTCACAGTTGACTTGATAGCACATAACAACAACAACAAGAACTGGGTTAAGACTGCCATAATGTTTTTTTTAACTCATTATCATCAAGTTGGAACTGACTCGTAGCTGCCCCTCCAGCACATTTTTGGAGACTAAATCACCCAGGAGGAATTTGCCCATCTTTCTCCTGCAGAGCCATTGGTGGATTTAAACCAGCAGAAAGGTACTAAGTTTGGATTAGCAGTGCAACTGTCTATAGACTACACCACCAGGGTTACCTTAATGTCTGTTAGAAGGCAAATATCTTTTTAGAGAAGAAGAAATCCATTAATCTCCCAATCAGCTCTTAACCCTTTAAAAGAATTTGTCAGGTTTAGCTTTTGATGAGGTCTTAAGGAAATCAGACACGAGCTGAGAAGTGTGTTAGGGGCTGTTGGTGGGGGCAAAGTAAAGACCAAGCACAGAATGCTCTCTGGGCAGGCAGAGCACTGGGCCTTTGAATTGATTGAAACAACAACCGGAGCAAGTCTTTGGGGCTTGGTGTGGAGAGAATGGTCAAAGGAGATTTTAAAACCTCATTAACATCACAGTTTTGCTATAGTCCACTTAAATCAGTCTGCTACTGAAGCTAAAGTGTCCATTTAGCCTGGTGACCTTAGCCTGGGAACTGGGCGGGGGGGACCCAGATCATTATTCCCTTAAGGCTGACCACCCACCCTGGCACTCAGCCCCAGATATTTCCAGACCTTCCAATAAAACTGGTCCATTTCATGTCTTCTATTTCCTTCTGTCTCCTTCCTCACCCTATCTCATCTGCCCTTCTTTCTGTTAATGCTTCCTGCCTTGCTTGGGTACCAGGATGAGAAGCAGTCAGCTACTACTCTCCTGGTGGGACCCCGTCACGGCATCAGCCATGTTATTGACCTCAAAACCAACCTCACCACTGTGCTGTCCGAGTTCAGCAAGATCAGCAAGATCCAGCTGTTCCGGGAGAACCAGAGCGTGGCCCGGGTGGAGACCAGCATCATGGATGCCAAGGTAAGCTCTGCTTTGAGGGGTTACTTCTGTCTACGTGGCAGGGCCAGGTCTTGGAGACAGAGGAAGACATCAACTGAGGACTTTGATTGAGTTAGAATGAGAGTTTGAACCTAGTAGATGATGTTTAGCAATTCTGAAGTGGCTGGGAAGTTGGAGTCCTGTGTGCTAATCTTTCTTGCCCTTCTCAACTTTCTGGAACTTGGTATTCTGATCACATATAAATCCAGTTAGTGTTAAAGGAGATTCTTGGGACAGCCCAATCAGCCTAAGAGAGGCATTAGGTAGAGTTCCATTGCAGGAGAATTGGAGAACTCATTGCTTCCTCAGTTGTTGTGTACCATCAAGTCAGAACCTATCATAGCTGACTCTCCGATGGGTCTTTAGAGGCCTTCACATGGGAGATGGCCCATCATTCTGCCAAAAATCAGCTGGTGGATTCAAACCTAGTGCCTTCGGGATTGCAGCTCAGCTTCTTGCCACTAGGCCACTAGAAATCCCTCTGGTAAGCTTCCCAATCTTTCTCATGTCATTTTGTTGTTTGTTGTTGTTGTTGTTGTTATGTACCTTAAGTCAGAATCGACTTATAACTAATCCTCCAGCAGATTTTCAGGAGTTGTAAATCACATAGGAGGAGATTTTCCACCTTTCTCTCATGGAACAGCTGGAGGATTCAAACCATGTGCCTTTGGGTTGGCAGCGCAAATCTGTACCCACTAGCTGAGCAGAGATCCCTCTCATATCATAGTTGTTATTGTTGTTAAGTGCCGTCGAGTTGCAGGCGACTTATAGTGACCTTATGAAGGAGAGTCTTCGACACTTGGGTGCCTTTCATCCTCTCTCCAGGTTCATAGGGTTTCCGGAGGCAAGTTATTATGGAAGTGGATGCCACTCCTCCTTCCAAGTTTGTTTTTATTGGGGAGCTCCACCCCACTCTCTGTCCGCATTGGTTAACCAGCCATTAACGCATTTTGACACATCAGTGTCACAGTGTTCAGCCTCACAGCAACTAAAAGTGACCGCGGTACGGCAACTTGTATACCAGGGCTATACAACCTAGAGGAATGTCTGAACAGAAACAATGAAAGGCAGGCCCGAGGGCCACAGATTAAAAGTCACCACCTTTGGCTTGGTAGCATAATTTTCTATCCACTGGGCCAGCTGATCTCTCTCTTTGTGTTGATAATATTGTTGTTAAGAGCCGTGGAGTTGCAGGCGACTCATAGCGACCCTATGAAAGAGAGTCCTCAATGCTTCATATCATAGTACATATAAAAAATTACATATACATGAAATATGAGGCAAATGAACCTATACACATTTTTATTCACCCCAGGATGGGTTGCCCTGCCATAGCCCACATATACTTTATGTTATGAACTAAACTATATCCTCCCAAAAAGAATCATGTTGTAAATCATTAACTCTATTCCTGTGGTTATAATTCTATTTGGGAGTGAGTTTTCTATAAAGTTAATGAAACAGGATCAGTGTAGGATGTATCTTGAGTAATCTCTTTCAAGATATAAAAGAGATTGAGACAAGCAAGCAGAGCAGAGTTGAGAGAAGAGAGATGACAAGCCACATGAAGATAAACCAGGAACAGAAACTCAAAAAAACAAGGACCTTCTTCCAGAGCCACCTGGAAAAGATAGCCTTCCCCCACAGTCAGCAACCTGAATTTGGACCTCTAGTCTCCTAAACTGTGATAAACTCTTTTATAAAGCCATCAATTTGTAGTATTTCTGCAGCACTTCTGTTATTTGGCAGCACTAAATAACAACAACAAAAATTACTATTGAGAAATGAGGGTGCTGTTCTAATAAATACATAAATGTCGAAGTGGTCCTGGATTTGGGTACTTTGTAGAAGCTGAAAGCATTTTGAGATGCCTAATAGCAGCAGTCAAGAAATCAAAAACTTATTGCATTAGGGAAATTTGCTGTCAGGGACCTACAAAAGACTACAGTGTGCCTGCCCAAAGTCATGGTTATTTTCAGTTACTTCATAGACATGTTTAAAGTTAGACAATTGATAAGGAAGACCAAAGAATAATCAATGTCTTTGAATGGTGATGGTGACAGAGTATTGAATACCATGGGCTGTCAAAAGAACAAACGGATCTGTCTTGGAGGAAGAGCAGTCAGTGTGCTTCTTAAGGTCATGGAGAGTGAGACTTCATTTCATAAACTCTGAGCATGTTATCAAGAGAATCCCTGGAGAAGGACAGTTGTTGTTGATGATGATGATGTTGTTATGTGCTGTCGAGTTGCCTGTGACTCCTAGTGACCCTATGTACAATAGCCCTGAAACCTGCTCTATCCTAAGCCAACTTTACTGCCTCTGGCAAACCTACCCTCATTACCCCAGTCACTGAATCAATCCGTCTTATGGTTTTCCTCTCTTTCTCTGTCCTTTTACCCTTTGAAGCATCATGTCTTTTTCCAAGGACAGGTTCCTCCTTGTAACATGCCCAAAGTATGCCTCCAAGGAGCAACCTGTTTCACCCTCTCCAGGTCGGATCTGTTTGTTCTCCTGGCAGTCCATGATATACACAAGATTCTTCTCCAGCACCACAACTCAAGGCATCGATTCTTTTTCTACCATCTTTAGTCATTGTCCAGCTTTCTGATGCATAGCAAGTGATTGTGAAGACTTTGGCCTGGATCAGGCACACATTAGTCTCCTTGGAAAAGAGAGGAAGACCCTCAATGAGATGGATTGACACAGTGACTGCAGCAATGGATTTGAGGATAGCATAGATTGTGAAAATGGTGCAAGATAGGGCAGGGTTTCCATCTGTTGTTCATAGGGCCACTATGAGTTGTAGTTTACTCAACAACACCTAGCATCAATAGTTAAGAGCCTGCATTGCCTTGAAGGGGTTGTTGGAAAAATTATGGTGTCAAGGACAGTTCCTAGTGAGTGCTCAGGAAAAAGTGAGAAAAGCTAAAGAAAGTCTCTGTCATCGTAGAGAATACATATGGCTACAGCAACAGAATGTTGCTAGAAATGTGCATGATGAATATGGTACTGGTGAGATTTTAAAAGAAAGGATGAACATGTGATTGGGAGATAGAAAAAGGGCAGTGCTTTTTATGCAGTGACAAAGAACTTATCTAGAATATGTTCAAATATTTGGTGGAAACTAGAACTTTTAAGCAATGAGTTTGGATATCTGGCTGAGGAGATTTCTAAGCAATGTTTTAGAGAAGGCATGTAGTATGACAACAGTCTGGAACAAGAGTTGCATTGCAAAGTGGACTGGAGGCAGGGCGAGGGAGAGTTAGGGAAGAATATGTGCAAAGAATGAATAAAGAAGAATTTAAAAAATAAAGTGAACATGTGAGAGGTGGACATAAAAAATTCACTGTGCAAAATTAGAACAGAACTTAAAGTTCTGAAAAAATCTATTGCACAAACTAAAGACACATGTCCTAGAATGTTCACCAAGGACATGGGTAGACATTGTTTTGTTACAAGAGACTAAACCTGTGATTGATCTAATCAACTACCACTTTAGAAAACCCATCCACTTACACTGACGGAGAAAAAGAAAGAACAAAAGGAGCAAATGCTGTCTGCCTCTTGGAATTTTTATAGGCAGGAAACAGGCGAGAGGAGCTACATCTGTTGTCATTCAAGAGAAGAAGGGGACCATTATTGGAGCAGCTTCTGTAGATCAGTTGGAAGGAGCACAGGGATCAAGGTTTCAAAGGTTAGAACTATGATCTGGATCCCAAAGGGTTAGGCCACCACTTGCTACATTGCAAATACTTGGATTTTTGCTAACTCAGTTCCAGAGTGTGGAGTTTCCATTAAAGTGTGAAGAGATGACACCACCAGGCCCAGGAGGCAGAAGAATAGGGCCAAATAGCTGAAGAAGCAAAATTAGTATCCTGGTAGTCTTTGGAAAGCAGAGTTTGAAGCCTAGGGCCTCTGTACCTCCACCAAGAATCCAGAGGATATGGCTAACACCCACAGCCTGAAGGGCTGTTACCAAGAGAGTTTGTCTCCGAGAGGATTATTTTCAAGCCTTGTAGTGTAACTTTGTGGTGGATTTGGGACTTGCTTGGTGTCCTTTGTCTCTGCTTTTCCTCCAGTTTCTCCTATTTATGTCTTCATAATCACTTGCTTTGCATCAGAAAGCTGGGCAGTGACGAAGGATGGTAGAAAAAGAATCGATGCCTTTGAGTTGTGGTGCTGGAGAAGAGTCTTGTGTATACCATGGACTGCCAGGAGAACAAACAGGTCCGACCTGGAGAGGGTGAAACCAGGCTGCTCCTTGGAAGCAAGGATTCTGAAACTCTGTCTGACATACTTTGGGCACATGTTATCAGGAGGGACCAGTCCTTGGAGAGGGAAATCATGCTTGGGAGGATGGAGGGACAGCACAAGAGAGGAACCCCTGGATGAGATTAATGGATTCAGTGACAGGGATAATGGGGGTATGTGTGTCAGAGACAATGAAACTTGCTTAAGATAGAGCAGGGTTCAGAGCTGTTGTACATAGGGTCATTATGAGCCACAAGCAACTCCACAACACATAACACCTTCTCCTATGGATAAAGGAGCTCTGGTAAACTAGATCGCGCTGCAGTCCTGAAGGCCTGCGGTTCGAGGCCACCAGCTGCTCAGTGGGAGAAGGTTGGGCAATCTCCTCCTATGTAATTAACTGCCTCTGAAAACCCGCTGGAGGGTCGGCTATGGGTAAGTTCCAACTCTATAGCACACAGTAACAACACTTTTTCATATGATGCCTGTTCCACCATAGTATTTTAGAAAAGATATATTTTAAAATAATTAATGTGGGCAAATGTATAGAATATAAAATGTTCAAGATATGATTCCATTTTATCAGTCTTTTATATCCAGGATTGAAAATTTCTGTGGGAGTGAGTTCTATTGTTAATGCATTCTGATGTTTTCCATAGAATATTTTAAAGATTAATATCGGTGAAATTTTTTAAAAATTGAATAAAAAATAATTATGTGCTCTGAAA